CGCATTTTCGCTTCTATCAGCAATATATATATATATATATATATATATATATCGCGTCGATTAGCCCTCTGTTCAGACTCACGCATGTTCTCATCTATCTTCTTTATAGTGTCCTTGCTCGAGAGGCCCTAAATGGTCATTGGAGTCTCCATTGCCCTGGACAGGGATGATTCGTGGCTAATAGACTTCGGCGCAAATATTCATATTAAATACGGTTTTGCCCCCTATAGACCTTTGAATACACGAACCTACCCCAACTTATTCATATCTGAGGAAGTTTAAAAGCTAAAATTTAAAAACTGGTGTATTGACCAGAAGGCGCACAGGGAAGGTTGGGGGACGCACTGATGAGCCGAAAGCCTGGCATGCAACAGCAGAATATCGGCGAAACACGTACCCGGGCTTTTAGCTCGCACCCGCACTGCCCGTGTGGTGTATCCTATATCCACGCTCAATCAGCATCCAAAGGGCGGGGCAAAGTTCGCACTTCCAGCACGGATATGATACCTGGTATGCGGCAAGACTGAAAGAGTCACGGAAAACGAGAATAATCGCCTACTTACTCTGACGATAGAACCGCGCGAGTGTCCGAGACGTCGTTATTAATATACCTCTCTCGTACCTTGTTCATCGTCTTCTTTGGGAGATGTTAAAAATGATAAGGTATCTGGATGCCGAATCTTCATGCATTCCCCTAGCTACCTGTTGGCACTGCAAGTAATATTACGCGGTTCTGCCACTGTAACTGATGGATCTCGACCCAATTATTCATATCCACCATGGGTCTGCGTCAACACAGCCTAGTTCAAACTGGTTTCGCCCAAGTCAGAGATTAATTGCTGAGAGAATTAAAAAACACAATTTAAAAATAGGACAATCGGTAAGAGTTCCACTAGGGGTCTACTAATGGTACAAGAAACTGCCCTGATAGATTTATTTTTTAACCAATAAGAGTTCCTCTTACATTTGGTCTTTTCACAACCTTTTCGCCTACATTTTAGTTAGTTAAAACAATTACAAGCGCCTTAGCTTCTTCCTTATTGCGCCGTTTTCCCGGCCCCTGGGTTGCCCCACCCCCTTTACTTCCCTTAAACCGCGAGGCCCATAAGAAGCATGGGCGCGGGGGGGGACACCTTTTTCATTGAGCGGCCATAAGAGGAACTCTTACCGGAGTATCTACCAGAAAGCATACAGGGAATACCAGTGAGCCAACCAGTGAGCAGAAGTCCTTGAAGATATGTGCCAGAATGAAAGCGAAACGCTCTCTGTAAGTTTAGCTAGTACCTGCGCCGTCACTATGATGAATCGGTGGGAGTTTAATTTAGATTCCATTAGTGTTTAAATAATTTAATATTTGGCGAAAATCAGCGCGCAATAAATAGATTATTTACAGTTTACTTTAAGATTTACCTTTTGGTTTAGTTTACTTTAATTTACCTTTGCTTAGTTAGGTTGTAGCTCATTTTTTAGTTTATTAGATTTATTAGCAGCATGCGGTTGCTTTTGGAGTTAAAATCTTTATTAGTTTACTTTACCTTAGTTTATTAAGTTTGGTCTATTTAACTGGTTGATATTGTAGTTCACTATTAAGTTTACTTTTAGGTTTATTACTACGTTTTATTAATTCTATTTAAGTTAAGCTATAGAAGCTTATTTTAGTTGAGTTCTCTTTAGTTAGTTGACTTTAGCTGTAGTTAGTTAGTTTGGCCTATGTTAGTTTAGCTATCAATAGTTAGACTGTCTTAGTTTTAATTTAGCTGGTAGTTTAGTTTTAAATCTATCAATGGCATGCAGATTTTATCTTATCTTTTTTCATCGCTTTACTTTAATCTCGGAAATTCGTAACGCTTTGCGCTTTTCCGCAAATCTGAGCGGTCCCCCGATACCTGGGGAAGTTGCATATTCTATTTATTGCGCGCATTTTTGTTGCCAAGCCTTAGATTAATTAAATAATTATTCCCATGTCCTTGCTAATTTTATACGCTCTGTTCTTTTAATTAATCTTTCTTCCCCTGTGAAATGCCCCACCCATTTTGATGCTTATTATTACCCATCCCGTATTAAAAGAAGGAGGGGGTTTTCGCGTACTGTACTGGAACCTAAATTAAACTTATGTCGGTGAATCAAAGCAAAAACGGGAAGGGGAGGGAATCTTTATAGCTGTCAGAGAACTGCAAGTCGGAGGGTATCAAGGATAAAGGTGCGCGCAAAACAACAACAACAACATTACCGTAATCCCGTAGATAGGTGAGGGTGTCTTCCACCACAATCGGGATTGGGCGACCACCGTTATTTTCCTTGATGCTGTGGGGATGAGGGGGGGGGCAAGGACAGAGAAAATTAGGAAAATGAGACGACAAAGACTCCCAGGCAATAGCCATTAATGTCAGCCGTTAGGTAAATTTGTGTTGGAGGTGGTGATTTTGACGTAAAAAGCACGTACTATTGTAGGGAAACTCCAAATTGCTGTTGTGGAAGACGGTCCTCTTCGTCGGTTTCAGGCTCAAACATGACAGACGCGTCGTCCGGAATGTTCGAGGCTGCTAGCCCTCTCATACTGACCTTTTCGTCATATCTGTCTCAACGACACAAAAAAGTGAGCATGAGTTGGCAGAAAAAATACCGTTGACAGCAGAGAAAACGAAGGACTCGATGAATAGTATTCAACGACAATTGAAGACAGGAAGGGGTTGCAGGACTTACGCGCGAATTCGCGAGGGGAGAGTGAGTTGTCTGACTGAGAGGTGCTTCTCCAATTCGCGAAGATTGTCAACGTAAACCAACTTTTTCGTCATTTTTGAGCTGAAGGGGGAAAGCAATCAAACTTTTAGACTCTGATCAAAGTCTACTATAGCACAACATCAGGCCGAGTAGGAACCCTTGGTGAAGAGTCAGATTCTTTCTCAGTGACTCGTGGAGTGCGACAAGGATGCCCTCTTTCCCCAGTTCTCTTCAACTTCTTGATCGACTGGGTGATGCATCAATCAATTATACCTGACAGGGAATTTGAAATTAGCCCTGAATTCAGATTTCCTGACCAGGAGTATGCCGATTACATTGTCGTACTTGGTAATACCCCTCAGTCACTACAGCCCGCACTAGAACTAATCACCAGCCTAGCTGCAACTGTTGGTCTGTCAATTAATGTACGCAAGACGAAGCTCCTGACTAAACATCTCAGCACAGCACAATCACTGTCTATGAGCGGTTAACCCATCGAAGAAGTTAGCTGCTTCCGCTATTTGGGCTAGAATATGCTAGCCAAAACACAGGCCAACGACGAAGTCAAGAACTAAATCGCGCAGACTAGAAATGCATTTAGGCTGCTAGCCAGACCACTCTGGTCTCGCTG